GATTTTCGAATGAAGAGACCGTTCGAAAAACATCATTTATTGTCCTTTGATATACATAAATCAATGGGTTAAAGCAATGTTATGTGTCCATTGCGATGAGCCTTTTGTTTCACTCAATATACTCATTGCCATACAAATATGTAGAAACGTTGATTTTTGATTCTGTTTTCTAGTTTGTTCTCAATTTGCTAATCGCAAGATTTCGAGATTAAATGCTCATCAAACTTAATTGTTATGCGATGAAAAACGCTTTTCGGTGAAAGCTTAACTGAGAAAATCATTTTAAATGAGATTACTTCTGAATCTTCTCTTGAATCATGAAAAATTATGCAAAGGTAACCTGTTTATGAGGCAAAACTTTGTGATCAAATCACCTGTAATGCATGAATCAACTCTTCTCGTGCTATAATTAAACTCTTTTAATATTGGTTATAATTTATCATTCCACTGACAAATTCAATGCTTTACATCTTTTCAGGTAAACATCAAAAAGATGTAAAAAATGATTGGAAAAAGTATCTGACAATAAAATGTAATCGAATCGAGAATTAAAATGAAATCAGCAAATAACTATCAATTAATGCTCAAATGATCCAGAAAAATGCCAATTTGATCAACCTTATCTGGTTAAATTTACGTTAAAACTGCAAGTGAAGCATTTAAAATGAATCAACTTGACAAAATGGAACCATTTGTTTCAAATTTACAACTTTAACGATTGATAAAGTTGTCTGACAATGCGACTGCCACTAAATGTCTACTAATGCAAAATTACTCGGTTAACAAACAATTTCATATAAAACTTGTACAAAATCTGAAAAGATTGATTCCAACTTGGACTGCAACTTGAATTAAAAAAGATAAATTGTTCAACATTAATATTAATTATTGCAAATTCAAGTTTTCTCACTCAGTCAGAGTCAAATTTCATTAATCTTTTTAATCACAACCAGATTTAACCTTTCAACAAAAGACTAAAATTGTTGTCACAATAATAATGCAAAATTTACTTTCATTAACCAAAAAGATTCAAAAACGGACTAAAAAATTCAACCTTCAACACCATCTATTGGTGAAAAATTGCCTTTTTTATGTCAAATTTTTTCTCGTTTTCATCTTGAATCATTAAGATCTCAACCTAATTATCAACCTATTCAACCTACTCATCGGCTAACAGTAACATTTTGTTAACTAACCTTTTGTCACTGAATTTTTTTCCTAAACAAGAATCAAGTCGAGACAAATGAATATTATTCAAAGACTAAATCAATGAAATCCATTTCAAATGTAAAATTGAAAGCAACTCAAATCTTGTTGCTTCAACTTGAGTTTATAGCTTTACTTTATCCTCTCTAATGACGGGTTAAATATTGGACTGAAAATGTTTGTTATAAAAGGTATTCGTCAAGGCATTTCTCTCTCTCTCTCTTCAAACGATGAAGATAAAAGGGAAGCCAAGATGATGAGTAAAGATGATGATAAAAATGAAAAGATGGTGAAGATGAGGAAAGATAGTAAATAGTGGTTACGCTTTGCTGATCATTTTTACCTCTCTGTACTATCTGAACAATTCATTTTTATATCATCCGATTGGATATCGTCAATCTAAATCAATTACCTTTTCATTCATCTTTTACCTTCTTCTTTCCTCTTATCATTATCATCTTATTATTACAACTTTTTTTTCAACCGCTTTCCTTGAAAGATTGTAATTACTGTTGGGCACTTTTGAAACAACAACAACAACAGCAACCAGCAAAATTAGGTACAAAAAGGTAAAGTGAAAAATGTCGATGAGAAAAATGTTTAAAACTGAATTGAAATCTTCACAATAAGATAATCAGTAACTTTTTTTTTCTCTTCATTTTACCTTTTTCCATCCAACATTCAAGGTTGACTTTCATGGTTGACAATGACAATCATAATCAGTTGAGAAGCGCGAGAAAAGTAAATTAACCAACTACCATGTAGCAATTGAAAAGAAAAGGAGAAATCTGAATATTCTTTTCATTTGGTTATTCAATTAACTTGAAATCGTTTCACTGTTTTCTTGCTACTCTTCAATATTCAAAAGGAAACGTCAATATTTATTATTTTTCTGTGTGTTTCTGTGCATTTTGCGTATTATTAGGGTTGTCAGTTTAACTTGTTATTGAATCTTGTTCTGGCCGTTATCATGTTGTACTGATTATTATGGTATTTTGTGCTGTTTTTTTTTGTTATTACTGGAAACCGTTTTTAAATTATAGTGATCAGAAAAGTCCCTTTTTTTAGACTTAAACTTGCCTTTTCGAGAGTTATAAAGCTTATGTATCGTTACTTTACCTTTCAATTGTAATTATTGTATTATACAGAATCGTTTCTCTCGCTATTTTTGCTCAGAAGCTCAATTCCAGCCATTCTTTAACAGTAGACTCGAGTTGTTGTTGTTGCTATCATTATTATCATTGCCATTATTATTAACATTATTACAGTGATAATACATGAGCAAGGAAAAATAATGGTTTTCTTTGGTCGTCTTTTCTTCTCTACTTTACTTCAAATGAGAATCTTTTTTGTTTTTCCTTTTCTTCTTCTTCTCTTTTCATCCTGAAAATATTCATTTATCCTGGTTTATTGGTTTGTTGGTTTAACCACTGATTTTTGTTTTGGTTTAATTGTCCATTTATTCAGGAAATTCAATTTTCATATTTTTGTCCATTTTAATTTGTCCATTCAAATTAGGCGCTTGTCAATTTGGATCCATTGGGAGCTAGGATCATTTGATTTAGATCAGTTACTTTGAGTCTTTCATTTATTTTCACGGTTGCACTTTTCAATTTGTTGTCGTCTTTTTGTCTGTTGTTGGTTAATTAATTTTGGTAATTTGATTTTAATTTTTGTTTATTTCTCTCCTCTCGTTCATTGTTTCTTTACCTGTTTAATTTTATTCAGTTAAGTCTACAGTTTACTTGGGCTCACTGGTTTCTCTTTTACTTTTTTTTCTCTGTGCAATGTTATTTTCTTTGCTTCTCTCGTTAAACTATTCAACTGATTATCATCTTCATTTCTCATCCTAATTATCTTTAATGGGCTCATTACATGGTTTTTATTTATTTCTTGATTATCATATCATTGGTTCTTGTTGATGAGCAACTGTTGTTGGTTTAACTTGACAATAATTGGTCAACAAAGTGATAATACTCACTTTTCCATTACTCTTTCATCTCTAACTCTCTCTCTCATCTTTAAATTTTCATAATTACCAATTAAGTGTCAATGGAAATGATGATTCTATTCATTAGCTTTCAGATGGTGTCTTTGATAGTGCCCGTGTTAGTTATACACATTTATCATTTAATAAGGTTGTAATTGCACTTCCATTCAAACCTGACAAATTTAACCCATTTTGAAAACAATGAGTTTGATTAATCAGTCCATCTTTTTGGGATTATTTGTCAAAATTTGCCAAATCAACATTCATTAAAGTTTAGTTTCATGGCCCAGTCAAATTTTACTTTCAACAAGCCAACGTAACATTGCAAGTGGTCCTTTTAGCATGTGAAAATATTCAATATTTGATGTCATTGTGTACGGAAACTTTGTAGACAATAATCAAAAAATCATTAGTGGTACATTTTGAATTCATTTCAAGTTATTGTGTAAATTGGAAAGATGGATCAATATGGTTGATGAATCTCTCCCCAAAACTTAATTACTGTTCCTATTAAATCTTAGACTTGTTTTCAATCAGATAATTAGGTGAAATTTGATGGTCAGGTCTATCATAATTATCTTAAGCCATCAAAAAATTATAAATTAAGTTTACAATTTTTTGCAAGTATTACAATTATCACTACGGCAATTCATGTTTACACATTGATATGAATACATTTATCACAACCAATTAACCAAATTGATTACTGACAAACAGTATCCATTAAACCTTTACACCTAAATTGCCCCGTTAACAAGAAGATGATTAAAGTCCAAAATTGACCAACATTCCAAATAATTATGATATAATCTCGATTGTTGAATCAAATGACAATTTGTTTTCCGTCGATTTAAAATTTCTCCCATTCAAATTCATCGCCAAATGTGAGTGGACAAGATCTGACTTTGGTTGAACTTAAATACTGTAACAGTAGTTGACTGTGACCCATGAAGATAACAGTCCAAGAAATTGAATGACAATTTCAATTATTGACCCAATAACTTGTTTCCTTGAAATTCCGTTGCTTTTTCCTTCCTATCCTCCATCTTCAACCCATTTCCAGAAAAATGGACTGAAATATCATTTTTTTCAGTAAAACATAATGAATCCATTTGTTTTCATCTCTCTATCAGGATCTATAATGATGATAGTAATAATAATAGGAAAGGAAGGATAAGGGGAAAACCATTGTTGTTAATTCTCATGTTCAGGAGACTTTTTTGTGCTTCATGTTACTTGTTGGTTGGTTGGTTGGTGGTTGTTATATTCAACTGTAATCAAAGCCGTTCGGGGTGGAAATACCTTAATATACTTTAGAAGGGATGGTTGATTGATTTTACGAGCACAACTTTCTCTTTATCATTTCTTATTCTTTTCTCTCTCGGAAGCAATTGTAGGCAAAAATCGATGTCATTCCTTTTCACTTTAATTCTCCTTCTTATTTCTTGGGATATTTTTGTTCTTTTAACCAATCCGATCATTTATTCTTCTTTTCCTTCATCATCTTTTAGTTGTTGTTGTTTTTTCTTTATCGATGGCTCCTTAATTGTTTCCCTTCACTTCGTTAGCTTTACAATAGGTGAGAAAATTGAAAATTTAAAGTTGATTTCACTTTGATTGGAATGGAGAATTGATTGTTGAATTTCCTAAGAAATGGACAATTCTGTCATTGAGAAAATAGAATAAAAAAGTAAGGTTTTGATCGATAAAATATTGGCATTACTGAAGTTGTGAGAAATCGGGGAAAAATGATGATTAAGATTGTTGTGGTCAAGGAGAATAGAGTTTCCAAAAAACAATTCTGTTCGATGAATACGACCGATTCGTTTATTTCTGAAACTTTCTTGAGATCTTTGTGGTGTAAAGGCAGAGAGAAGGGAATGATGATTTGGTAAAGATTCGGGTTTGTCTTTGTCTTGATCTTGAACACGATAAACAATCTAAATAGAGATACATTCGAGAGGATGGATAATGGGTTACTTTTCATTCTGTATAATGAGGTTGATGGCTAGTTTATTATAATGAAACATAGCATATTGACAAAAAATTGTTTAAATTATCAAATAATGAAGATAATACTTCAGTTTGAGGAAGAAAAAAAACACCAATCTTATATTTCTTCAACAAGGGTACTTTGTTTAGACTCTCTCTCTCTCACACTCTTCACCATTTTCTTTGATATTTACTTTAGCTTTACAATGTAAAACTTTCTTGGTCTATTGTCTTGAATTATTTTTGTGTTCCAATGTTTGAAACAAAAAATGAAAAACAATGATTCGAACTCGATTCCAAATGATTCTTGATTTTTCCAGATTAATATGGATCAAAAAATTGTTTGATAAAACACTTAATATAGCATACACAACAAAAGAAGCACTGTCCAAATAAGACCGAACTTAGAAAAGGATGTCATCATCATGTTCATCTTCCAATATGTTTGCAGACTCTATTATCAATCCTTGAGCCTTTAATAGTGCCAATTCTTTTTCTCGGGCATCTTTGATTTGCTTCTTTTTCTCTTGGATTTTCTTAAGTCGATAAAATTCTTCTCTTTCCATTTCATCCAATTCTGAGGTTACATAGGCCAAAGTTCGCTCAATTTTAGGAATAACAACGTGTTCTAAAGCATTTACACGACGATTTGTAATCTAGAGAAAAAAAAGTAAAGAATTAGTAATGTAATGATCTACATACAATGAAGGAAATAAGCATTCAATTCAAAATGCATTGAAGTTTTACAAAAGCTTACCTTAATAACTTCGTCTAATGTTATGAAACTGGTTTGTAAAGACGCCAATTCGACTAGAAGCTCAATAGCTCGAGCGTAATTCTTTTTTAACTTGGCTAATTGTTGACCACCTCTAGAAAGACCAGCAAGCTCGTAGCTATCACTTCCATCTTGGTAACATTCGAAAGACGGTAAGTTAACACCAGCGACGTTATCTTTTTTTGTCCTAACCTGCAAGTAAAATAACCATTTGTAGAAAATTAGTAAATTAAATAAAGTGATTCCATCCTCAAAGTATTCACCAGTCTATCAGTTAAAGATAATGCCAAAGATCTATATAAATCTAGTAAAATCATAAAATTCAACAAGCAAACGTCATGAGCAACGTTTACAATTAATTTTCAGCAGCAATCGAGCTAATGGAGTTTAAATTGTGTTATCCGGCAATAATATATATTAAATATGCTGGAAAACTTTGTAATTCCAGTTTTAAAGCAGCTATTTCATTCTAAAATCCTCCATCATGAAGTAACGGATCAATTCATTTTAGCGCAAATAGAAGGTAAACATACCAATCTGGTAGCTCTACAAAAAAATCATAATCCAATAAATTCCTGTTGGACAGTTCCGATAAAATAGTAGCTCTGAGATGGTTGATAAAATATACTCTAGTTATGATTCTAGATAAGCGAAAGACTGAATGAAACTCCCCTACTATCATAGAGTAACTAACCTTTGTCTGAGCTTTGGTGACGTTTTGCAGGACAACAGCATTAATATCATTACCAACAGCAAATTTAGCTTCAGCCAGGCTGAATTGGGCATCCTTCATGATATCACCCATCTTTTGCTTAGTCTATGAAAGACAAAAATCAAATGAAATTAGTCAAAATCAATCAATTAGCAGAGTAATAACATTACCTCAATGATTCTTTTTAATATCTGTCTGAATCTCAATTGTAATGCATCAGCCTTCTTTTTCAATAAATTGTGACCAGTTTGTGCAGCTTTCAAACGACCCTTCAATAAAGTCAGGGCCCTGGTAGATAATAAATTGAAAAGGGATAGGTAGATAAACAAAATAAGGAAGAAATGACAAATCAGATACACTTAACTTAGGATTAAGCTTCAGTGAAAAAGTATAAAGGTTTTGTTATTGATCTACTTACATTCGAGATGGGAAAATGTTGATTCTATCTTTACCCGACATTCTGATTATTTAACAATCAAAAGTTAAAACTGGAATCAAATGGAATGTTTAAAAGATGAGAGATCCCAAATCAAAGAAACTAATTGACCTTTAAATATATTTGAATCCTACTATCAATTAAAATTACCAACCTCGAGAAAACAAAAACATTGCTCAAACAGATGGAGCCACAGAACAGCACACGAACCGCCATCTTTTGGTGATTACTTTGAACGATTATTTTGAATAATTATTTGCACTTTGTAATTGTTTTATTGAATTCAATTTAATGGAAATGAATTCTATCTACTATTTTATCTAGAATCCTGTCTCGTTCATTAATTTTTAGAAAATCTACTTTTACTGATCGACTTATCAAAGAACAGAGATAAAGCTGAAAATCTGGATTCTAGGACCGCATATCGCCATCTATTGGATGAAGCATACTCATGATATTTTAAAACACATTTGTTTCAGTGAAAATTGCTTTGTTTTGGTTTGATTAAGTCTTGATTGTGAAGTTTTTACGAATATGCCAACATTGTGATCAGAACTTTAGACATTTGGAAACTTCTGTCCTTCAATTGGAGCTGATATATCTAGCTTTATCAGCCTTGTGCTGTTATGAAACAGAATTAATAGCCATTTTTAACTGTAGATTGAAAATGAATCAAAGTTTGGTGTTGCGATTATTCAATCCATTACTTATTTCAAGCCGAGGATGTTTCCAGAGGCGAACCAGAGGTAGAAAAATACCTGTTCGGAAGCCAATTTACTTCCCAATGGCTCCATCCAAGCTGTATGTCATCAAAGATAAACCTTATTTTGCTGAAGATGAAAAGGAACAATATGATGCCTTGGAAAAAAATCATGAGGATGCTGCAAGATCTTTGCAAGCATTTCTTTATCAAGAAGTTTATTTACCTACAACTACTGCTGGCGGGTTTAGCTCTGAAGAGGTTGCCAAGGAATTGCAAGAGCAAGAAAGACTGTTAGCTGAAAATGATGCTGAAAATGAGCGTCAAAAAAAGCGACGTGAAGAAAAAACGGCCTGGATAGAAGCGCAAATTGAAAAAGAAGCAATGGAGAAGGAAGCTGAAAGACTGGCTGCAATCGAGGTGGAAAAGTACATAGTGACAGAAGAGGTCAAGATTGAAATCGAACGAAGCAGTACGTTTATTACAAAGGAAAATTTGGAAAAATTCATTCTCAAAGCATTGGATTGCCCAGTTTCTTATGAATATGCCATAGATTTGGAAGGAAGAGTACTTTTTGACGATAAACTTCACCCATATGCCCTTAATCCAAGTGCTGTTCCGGAAACTAGTGATTTAGAGTTGGAAAAATTCGCCACCAAAGACAAGAGAATCAGAATAGATGAGAAAGTTGTTTATAAATAATATATAATAGTTTGCTTATAAAATTAATGTTAGAATTTACGCATTTTGAAAATTTTATTTCACCCTGATTCGATGTTTATTTCATGACTACTCGAGAAATTGGAGAAAGTGCACTTTAACAAGTAAAAATCAATCTTTATTGGAAATTCACTCTAAAATCTCGTCATCTAATCCATCGAGATAATACATATGTTCATCAGCAGTTGTATCTGAAATATCTATTATTGATTTATCATCACACTGTGTTTTGGATTGAACACTGCAATTAGTTATGCTTGAAGTTGAACCTCTTTGTGATAAGGATTTTATAGTTGACTGTGTCGAAGGTAGGCTGGATGATTGTGAAGTTATCAAAACCGGAGACTCCACTTTAGGTTTTAAATCAGGTTTTAACTCAGGTTTTAACTCCACTTTAGGTAATGATGATCCTGGTAACGGTGGACCTATGATCTGAATATTTTGACTTTGAAGTAATAAAACCTTAAAGCTAACATCAACTGGACCTTTGATTAAAATCCTACTACCAATGGGTAAATCAGGTTTAAGAAACGCTATGTGCTGATGTTCAATGGCTTTGACAACATTTTTACCATCACTGAGATTCAAACACAACATTCGCGGTCCATGAGCTTTGTCGTTTTGTTTTTTAACAGGTTGAGATGGTTTGAACACTTTACCTTTGAGTGTCTCATCAACATCACCTTCCTCTGGTTCTTCATCCAGCCGCAGAAATTCATTTTCCTGGTCATATGGCGGCTTACTTATATCGCGTATCGAAACAAGCTAGGCAATGAAAAAACAAAGCAGACGTATGTTGAGCCAACTTTCACGGAAAAATTTACCCAAACCGTTGATATTAGAACCAGCATTATCGAGGGAATTTCAAAAAATCTTAACGATTAGAGAAAAGACAAAAATATAATCGAAAACATTTTACCTGAAGAGTATAATTACCAACTAATTTTTCTTCATTGAAATCGTTTAATAAAGACATGGGTAATGGCGTGAATGATACACTAATCGATGACATGGTGTTATTAAACTGGAATTCAAGTAAAAAAGTAACTGAGTAAAGAATTAAAATCTAAATCAAAAACGCGCAACTTAAATTGTAAAGAAACATATGATTTTCGCAAAACGCGGTAACCAGATTAGTACTTAGACAAACCAATAGGTGGAAGTACAAGTGTAAAAACAAATTTTCTTACACATTGAAAGTTAAAATTTATTATAAATGTAAGTCAAATTGATTAAAATTAGAATCAAATAGTTTACTTTTAATCCGAAATTGAGAAACACTTCAATGCAGTTTAAAATTTGAGCAAATAGTCCAAGTTCTCATCTATTTTCTGTTCAAAAGAGATCAAGATGTCCAATGGAAGGAATACAAAACATTTTGACCAAAAGTATCTGTTAAACGAAACACTCACCGCTATATTGTATGGATAAACTGAATACATCCAATTGAACTTATCGATTTATTCACAAGAAAGTTAACCCAAAATTGTCTTACAATTGTTAGAAAAAACTTCACTTGGAACAACTCGTAAACAAAATTGGAATACGTTGCGTATCTTCACCTCAGCATGAGAAAATATTCAATTTCTTCGACCCATTAGACTTTTTTATCAATAATAGTCAATGCAATTTAATTTTTCCATCGTTGAAACTTTTCTTCTCTTAAAAGAAATTACTGAATTAGTCTAAATTTTAATATTTTGATTCCCAACATCTTTTTCAACTCTGAATGTACAAACTCAGTTTTCACTTCCACGTGTATTCCTATTATTATAATATTGCTGTAACAGATATTTTCCTCGTTGCAGAATATAATTTAAATTTCATGATTCATTTTATCATCAATTTAAATGTTCACTTAAATATATCTATTAGGATTAACTCTTTGTATCGAGTATTTTTGAGGTATCGAATCAATATCCTCAGCCCTGTATGTTAATGAAGAAATGCTATGTTAAAATTGCCTTAAACTTAAAAGTGTTCATTTTTAATTTAGTGATTATTATCAAAATCTAATTTAATTATGATGTAAAGATTATTCCAATTCAAGTTCTGGTGTCATTAACCTAAGTTTATTTTCATGGCAAAATGTAACATCTTATAGGAGAAACAAAAGTAACGGACTATTTATGATTCAAATTTTGTTGAAAACAAGTGACTCTAAAACCTATGATATGATTGAGTCAATCAAGGTGATGTTAAATTTTGGCTGTTCATCCATCAATTCAATCACATTCGTGCGTCAATTTACCGGAATGGTGGCTAATAAAAGATGATTTATTTGGTTTGACATGAAACTGGAAACAAGAGATGGCGTTAAGAAGCTTCTGATTTGACTTTCATCTCAATATCGGTATTAAGTGACCATCTAAATGGAAATCTAATTTTTTGTTGGCCACTAATTGTTTATTATCCTCAAATATGGCACAAAAATTATGATAGCTGCTAATTGGAAACTTAAAACCCAAGCAAAAATGGAAACTGGTTTATTACCTTCATCTCAATCTCAAGGAGTTGCTTTTTGAGTTGCTTTTTATAATAAGAAGGAGGAGAAACAAAAAGTATTTGTTTATCAAGTGGTAATACAATGCGATTGAGAGATCATCATCATCATCATCATCCAGATGAAAATGAAAGACGAAAGGAAACATTGGATAATGCTTATGGTTTTGCTGATTATACTAATTAATTATCATTTTAACCAGTTTGAACAATTGATTGATTATCCTGTAGCCCACATAATACTGGTTTCCAATGGCCTTTAACCAGAAAAACAAAGCTCCACCCTACCGTAAGGCATCAACAGTTAAAATGTACTTGAATGAACCAGTAAATTTGGACTGACAATCAAGAAGGAAACCAAATGGTTATAATCATAATGATAATGTCTGATATAAAGTTTCGCCACTGTGACTATCAGTAAATAATAATAATGGTTAAGAAAGTAAAAAAGAGCCAAAACAAGGTTGAGCTCAACATTGCCTGTCAACAGTCTCAGGTCAGTCACGGTAATTTTGTCACGCAACCATCAATCTAAGGAGACAACAATTTCTAATCAATCACTAATGTACCCTGAAAAAATTCATTGGAATATGAGTTTAATTAAAGAAGCAGCAACAGCAGAACAATTGGCAATCAAAAATGGCAGTTTGGGACAATTGTTACAAAGAGATGTAACCAGACAATCACATTTGATGGTAAACAATAGGACAAGCCAGAGAGATTCATGATCATTGTCATCAATAACTTTCAAGCTTTTCAATCAAATTTTATTTATTACATTTATAAATTTTCCTGTTGGCTGTTTAATATTGACAATATTATTTTTATTGGTATTTATATTGCGTGACATGGTCCTGATTGAACAAGTGTTAACACCAAAAAAACATGAAGATGAAAGTAAATATTGATTCCACTGAAAGTACATAACCTCCAAAGGGATCAAAGGATTTAAATTTGTCACTTTTGGATTATCTTGTCTTCCCTTGCACTTCTTTCATCACTACACTTGATCTTCATGGATTTACCGAAAGCTTCAACTTAATAACCGAAAATTAACATAATCATCTTTTAATTAGAACAAAAGAATCATTATCTCATCTCACAGCTTCCACTTGCCATTATTTGCTTCAACTTATCAACCATCTTCACTCCATTCAGTTGATCCTTTTTCTCTCCTCTCCACCTTTCTTCAACATCACATCATCATTTTGAAAGTAAATCACTTGACAAGCATTCCAATCGTGATATTTAAGCCAAAGCAAGTCAAAAAAGCCAACCAGTAGCAGTCAGCAGCAAAAAAAGCAAAGCCTGAAAAGATGTAAAACAACAAATGAAAAGACACCAACAACCCTGGAGTGAAGTCAATAAGATTAATTTTTTTACATAATATTATTTTCAGATGAAATGAGCTTCATCATCATCATCATCATTATATTGAACACAGAAAAGTTTATTATCACTCGAGTCAATCATTTTGATTCGTTCCAATCAAACCTTTCTACTTTTTACCAAAGCAAACCAAAATCCCATTCATTCAACATTTTCATCTCCATTACCTGAAAGCAGCAGAAAAAAAATGATGAATCTCGCCACCAAAAGGAAAAGATAATAATAAGGAATCCAATATAAAATGAGAGACAAAAAGAGCAAAGTTCAGAAGCAAATCATCATGAAACATCAATCCTGAAATGGTGAAACCAGAAGAAAGAAAACAATCTTTAAAATGAAATTAACACCTCAACATTATCCACAATGTTGAAGCTGTTTAATGCGAATCTAACTGGAAACTGTAAAAAGATTGATAAATTGATTAATAAAGCAAGAAAGAAGAAGCACAAAAAATGGATTTCAAAGGGACAAAGATTACAACTTTTAATATCATGTTTAAACACTTGAATTAATTGTTGTGCGAAAATTATTCCATCTCTATAAGCTTCACTTAAAATGGTAATAGCAGTAATTACAGAATTATTCACAACATGGAATCATTGATACTTTTATCCTGGATCATAATCATTTTGCTTCTTTTCGCAACTGTCAATGTTAATTATTAATATTGCATTATTATTACCATGGAATGGACAGAATGGACATTTCTTTTAATTTCATCTTCTCCCTTCAACATCTAAATGTTCACAGTTAAATGAACTTTTCCTTTGGACTTTTTTCTCTCCTCTTTCTCCATGGATCCTGATAATGTCATAAATTCGTGATTTGAATGGTTGACAAAGCTAAACTAATTATAGAGCTTTTGTGACTGAATAACACAGAGAAATGAAGCAACTCGAGTGCATATCAAATGGATAACATGATAATATAGCCAGAATAATTCCAGAATAATGATAATAATGACATTTGTCAATTGAAGAAGGCTAAAAATAAAAGAAAGGCAAGAAGCAAAAAGTTCATTCCCAATCCAGTTATTATGAAAGGAAACAAAAGGAGCCGAGAAAATTTAATCAAAGGATGAAACCCACTAATAATAACAGCAAATGATAATCAAAAGCAAATTGTTTCCCAGCATGATGACTCTGAATGAACCAATTACATTTAACCACTTACCTTGATCCAAATCAACATAATAAACCAATGGAAAAAAATGGACAGAAAAAAAAGAGCCAACTTCAAAAAATGGAATCAACAAAAGAAGCAAAACACTGACTTTATCATTAACCTTTGAAGGATTTTTTCTCATTTTTTCGCCTCTCATCTTGTGCTCATAATGCTGTGAAATCAATCTCATCATGATTGTTCAATAAGTGAATGAAAAAAAGCAAGATCACCTCAAAAGTCATCCCAAATCAGAATAATGATAAAATTGTTTGCTCATTTTCAGGTTCAATATTGTTGCTCTTTACACTATCCTATTGTGTATAACACACATATTATGTGACACACAAGTGAAAGAAGCAAAAGGCCCAAAAAAATGTTGATGAAAATGATGATGATGCTGATGAGTGAAGGGAAAGATGAGGAAAAGGCTGATGAAGAGGTGAGAGTAATTCAACTATTTTTTTTCTCTTCTTCATCCTCCTTCTTTTTCTGGGTGAGCATCATTATGATAGAATGTATGGATTCTCAATGAACATTGCATTCCTTGAAATACCTCATCCATCTCGAGCTTTTATCCTCCTCTTCATCCTCACCATCATCATTCCAACACTTTTTTTTCCTCTCACTTGATTCCTATAGAATCAAGAAAAATGTTGTCATCCTCAACCTTTTTTTTGTCTTCTTTCACTTCTCTCTCTCTCTCCATTCTCAGCAAACTTATTTATCATTATCATTCTCTCTTTCTTTCCTCTCCTCATTCACCTTATGAACTTTATTTATCATCATGATGAATACCATTGATATGATTTATCATTTTCTTCTCTCTTTTTTATTCCAGCCTTTTCCATCATCTCTTCATCTTCCTTTTCCTCACTCTCTCTCTCTCTCTGTGATTGAGCTTCTGAGGTAAAAGCAATTTACTTTGGTTAAACAAAAATCACTTTTATCATTCACATTTCACTCCCAGTTAATGACAATAACAAAGTAAGCAAACTAACAACAATTATGGTTTACGAATTGTTGTTTATCCTTTTTATAGCTTCATCAAGAATCAATATTGTTATTTCA